GAGAAATGGGGAGTGAGCAATGAGTGTAAGAATGAAGAAACTGTTCTGAAACTGACTGTGGTGACTGCCTGCCTCTCCTTGGTGTGACTGAACTACAGAGCTGCATGTGTGAAGAGACGACAACAAAACCATTTTAAAGGTAACAAAAAACAATAGACCTATTTGCTTCTCGGCTTGGAAAGAATTGTTTAGGAGGAAAAAAAGGGTGGGGGGGGTAACTGCTCTTGGGGAGAAGAGAGATCCCAGGTTCAAATATACTGTCCAGAGAGTTATCAAGTCTTAATCAGGATAAGACAAAGCAGAGACAAACCATCTGGAGGAGGGAGGGAAACCTGTCGCATGAGGCCAGAAGGGTGTCCCAGGGGCCGGTCAAATAGGACAGGGAAAATAGGTTTCCTCAGAGGAAACTGAGGAAATTAGGAATGGCCGCGGATCAAGTCATCGCAGTCACAGGCAGGACTATAGAAGCAGGAAAGGGGCCGTGCATGCTCGGGACACATCACTATTGCAGGTTAGAAAGACTTGGGGGTTTGGCTCAGGGCCCTCTAAGGAAGGCAACTCCAATACCCTGATTCCCATCAAGGACACACCTAAGTAAGTCGCTCCAGTGGAGGCTGTACCTCTCCCCGGGAGTACAGCCATCCACTTTCAAACACTCTGCCTGAGTCAACAGTCAGAAGGAAATCGCTGGACGCTGAATCTAGATGGCAAATGAAAAATGGGTTGAGGGTTCCCATGGTAACCCCTAGCTTTCTGCAGACCCGGGCTCAGAGAGGAAGCTCAAATACAGGAGCATGAATGAGGAACAGCCTCAGGTAAAATATGCAGAACCAAGTGAGGAAGGAGGCAGACGAGTCTATGGTGTAAAACCACACGTCAATAAAAGGAAACTTATATTGAAAAAAAAAAACCACACGTCAGACAGATCGAGAGTTGCTTGTCCCTCCATCATGCCTCCCTCTAATCTCGAGCTCCTTGGGGCCCAGGAGGAAACTGAAATTAGCAGTCTACAGATCATGAAACTCAATTCCCAGACTATAAGGACCAACTCCAGAATAACATCAACCAAGGCAAAACTTGAGTCAAAGAAGAGAAACCAAGGGGGCTGCTTTAGATTAAGTAAATCTCATGCTTTAATGGTGGTTCACAGAGCAGCAAGGAGATGTGTTTTCCATGGACATATTGATGTCCATTTGTAACTTCTCTCCAAAGCTTCACCACCGGCCATCCTCTTCCTGCTGGGAAGAACTGCCCGGGTCAACTCTGAAGGGCCATCCACTCGGGCCTGCAGTACGCCGAGAAGTCCTTCAGCGTGGTTCGGCAGAGAGCACGCCCTTTTAGGGTCTGAGAGCCGGCAGAGGTAATCTGAAAGAAAATCAGCTAGAGGTGAGGGAAAGTGGGCTGCCCCGCAGGACTGAATGGACAGCCCCTGTAGGAGACGCCACCAACAGGGCTCTGATGGCGAGGGGAGATGGCAACCGCATGGTCCCTGTATGCCCTCAATCCTGGGAGAGAGATGTAATGTTGATGAAAATCACCGAAGTTGTCAAAAACAGGGCAGTCCCCTAACAGCCTCTCTTCTCTTGAGAAACAGCTACTCCAACTCCCACCATCAGCTGAAAATACAAAGTGCCCTCCTGACTGGTTGGCCCAGTCTCCGTCACAGCTCCCCTCTCAGCTCATGAGGGCAATTTGTCCTCAAACTTTGTCCCGTTGGAGGGCCGGAGTATAGTTAAAAAAAAAAAAAGCTATGAACAAATTCCTATGCACATATCTTATTTTGAATAAACAAACGGGGCAAAAACACCCAACGGGCCGGATAAATGTCCTCGGCAGGTGGGCCGTAGTTTGAGGGGTCCTCAACTGCCTTAGGATATTTATGGTCATGTTGTGAGAAAGGTCTCTCTCCTCTGAGAGCTGAACAGACTTCACTGTAAAGGATCAGTCATCAGAGCTCTTACCATGACAGCAAGCTAGTCCATTAAAATGAGGGGGCTTCAAAAAACTCATGGGGAAATTCCTTTCAATTATCTTTTAATGCTACTTACCCACAAATTCTTTGAAACCACAGAGTACTAGGTATTGACAGTGGGTTACCCACTGCCCTAGGTGCTGGAGACAGAGTGGAGCACAACCTATTTTCCATGCCCTCAGAAGAGAAGACAACTCATCAATCAATGCGTAACAAACAAACCAAAAAAGATGGTTTCAGGAACTGGCCATAAAATGGGCTGACGTGGCAAGCCAAGGTGGCAAGGGGTGGATTGAGTTAAAGTTTATTGTGCAACCTGGCCGATAAACACATGTGGGGTTAATTGAAGGGCAGAGGGATAAATGGCTCGGTGAGCCTCGCCTTTCGAGTTCTCAGATCTCTTACTTTGTGATGGTCAGAGCAGGGTGCAGCTGCCTTAACCAGTTCCCTGCTTCAGCTAGCAAGGCTCACTTCCTGCAAGACATCCCTGAGAAGAAGCCATATGGACCTACACGGATGCAGCCCTGGGTGCTGGAGCAGCCGTGTGGAGAGCCCTGCCAGTGCTGAGATGCTTATACACTCACTGATTCGGCTTTCCTCCTGCAGTCAGCATCATTATGTGTGTTTGTGAGATGGAGGAAGTTTGTGGATTGATGTCAGACATATGGGCTAATGTTGAACTTGTGGGCTTGAGCAGCAATGGGTTGGGATGTTTTCTTGATGTGCATTTACCCTTTATATAAAACTCTCTCTTATACATATAAGCTTCTGTGGATGTGTTTCTGTAAAGTAACCAGATTAACACAGCGACTATGGTAATTAATCTGGTAACATAATTATGGTAACATAATCTGTTGTCCATTTGAGACTTGAGTGAAGGGGTGGAGGTTAGCCTATCAACCAGGTCACACAGCTTGGAGACCTCATTTGGAGGCACTAAGATCAATAGCTCACTGGAGGTGGGGCACAGGTTCACTTCCTTCGAGACATTTCTGTTGACAAGCCACATGAAGACAGGCTGATGGCAGCCAGAGCCTTGGAGCCAGAGCCATGGAGACCCACGCCTGTGCTGAGATGCTTCTACCACCATTGGATCCACAAGACTTTCCACCCACTGGCATGTGATCTTCCTGCATTCGGCGTCATTGCATGGCTGTGTGAGTCTAAAGAGGAATTTACGGACTAGTATCGACATATGGGGTAATACTGAACTTAAGCACTTGATCTGGAATTTATGACTAATATCGACATGTGGGGTAATAACAGACTTGTGGACTTGATCTGGATAGGACTGGGCTGGGATGTTTTCTCAATATACAATGCTCTTATATAAAACTCTCTTATACACATATGAATGTCTATGAATTTGTTTCTTTAGTCTACCCAGACTAACACAGTGACAAATAGCATAATATGCTACCAGGAGATTTTCAATTCATTTGAAAATCATTTGAAAACTAGGGGCTTGGGTTTCCTGGGATGACACCCAGGGCCCCATCTGGGCTCACGTGACGTGGCCACAGGTACAATTAAGTGACCAATCTCATCTCTCTTTGGCAAAGGTCCCTCAGGGGTCCTTTGGCAAAGGTCCACGTGCCTGCCTACCTCATCAGTACCCGCTCTGCCAGCTTCTAAGCTGAGGCCAAGTCGGGGGAGAGGGAAGATGGCTGTACTCAATCTGTAGAAGGCGTGAGAAGTAGCGGAGGGATGAGGGAGCAATCGGGAGCGAGAGGAGGCAGGTGCCCTAGGCAAGAGTGAGGAGTGGGGAAGGCCAGCGTCCATCAGCTAGCCCTGCTCCCGCACAGCGGGGCCCAGGGAGCTGGCCCGTGCAAGCTGGACTCGGACTTCACCGAGAGAGAGTAGGCAGATTTCTGACCGATGCCGCTGTCGACTACTTCAAAATCGCCTACGTGTCCCGGCACTCCAGCCTCATCAATTCCCACAAAGACAACTTCCAGAACAGAAAAGAGAAAGAAACACGAGTTAGAAGTGGTCTAAAGTCCAAGCCAAGGTATCCTGTTACACTCATTGAGAAAAGGGATTTTTACTTACTATCATCTCTCTGAGAGAAATGTAACATGTCTTCCAAAGGATCCAGCCCAACTCTCACGTTCACAGTGTAAGCCAAAAGCCCCCCAGGACGCCTTACCTTCACCAGGACGTAGTCCCCAGGCTGAGCTCTGATCTTGACAGCAGGGTCAGCTGCGTCCTCCAGCTCTGTGTCGGGGAAGATCACCTTAAGGTTGCCATCATTGCGGCCACTCAGGTCAGTGGCAGAGCGTTTACTGAGCTGCAGAAAGAACAAGAAGGGTCTAAGGGGAAACGGCACTACGTCTTTGGCCTACTAGGCACCAGACACTGTGCCGGGAACTTGGCGTCCTCGGCCTCTGAACATCAGTACCGGACTTTCACAAGAGACTCCTCTTCAGCTCCTTGCTTTCCTCCGCTCCGCTCTACGGTCAACAGCCTTAGTGATCCTTCCAACAGCTAGGGTGAACGGGTCAAAACTCCCACAGTACTCAGATTAAAAATCAATCACCTTAAAATGGCCAGTGAGGCTCTCAGGGATCTGGGGCCCCTACCTCTCTGAATGTGTCTTCTGTCTCCGCCTCACTCTGTTCCTGCCACACTTGCCTCTCTTGTTCTCCCAACATTCCAAGTTTGTTCTTGCCTTTAATCTTTGAACTTGCTATTTCCTCTGCTTGGGAACTTCTTTCCCTACACACGTCCTGGTTCCTCTTCCTTCCTTCAGGGTGCTCCTCAAACGCCCCCCCTCGGTGAGTCGGCCCCACCGCCGATGTCAAATGCTAAGAAACCACCAGGCGCCCCTAGGAGAACCAGCCTCCAAGGCGAGCCTGGTGACCCCGCTGCAGAGACTACACACCCTTGCAAATCCCAGCCATACTGAAAGAAAGGTCATCTTTGAGACCCTTAGGATAATGTGGCGATGATGAGACGTCACTGCAGAGACGAAGTCAAAAACGACTGCCGCTTCAGCTTCCATCTACAGCGGCCACGTTCACGGTCTCCCTCTCTGGAGCCACGTGCACTCAGGGAAGCTGAGGGCCCTGAGCTGGCCCTCTGGGGAAACCCACACCATCGCTTCTCCACCACTCTGCTGGCCGCGTTGCTCAAGCTCCTCTCGATATGGGGAGGACTTCACCAGGGCGGCTGTCAGGGGCAAGGATTCTCGTGGCTCGTCTCAGAGACTGACTGCCACAGGGAGAGAGGAAGAGCGCAGGGTCTGCCTGGTGTCATCAGCACTTTGCTCAGTGGAAGAGACCTGCGGCCTGACAACGGCCACGTGCGCGAGCTTGGAAGTCAATCTTTCCCTCCTGGTGCTCTTTCTCTTTAGCACTTCTTACTTCCTACTCCATGGTTTTCTCAACACCTATGTTCTCAAGACGGAGTGCCAAGAACCAAATTTACCCTCCAGTCTGAAATAACCAGGAAGCTGCACACAATTAAGAAACAGCTGTTTTCACGTATTGGAAAACCGACTGCCCGAGACCGTGCTTCCTTGGGAGAGAGGAAATAAACGAGGTGAGCCCTCCAATGCCCGTGTGTGCTGCCAGAAGGCACAGCCCAGCAGCAGCACGCTGAGCTGACCTCAACCCTGACCTGAGGAAGGAAAACAAGACAAGGCCTGTGACTTTGCACTAGTCCTTAAAACACTACTTTAGAGAAACATAATCAGACAGATTTTAAGAGACCCTCTACTCTACAGCTCTGCAGTAAGCCTCCTTTCCTCCTATCCCTGGCTTACGGCTGCTCTAACAGCGCATGGGGCACAGCCCACAGAGAGCAACACCCCATGGCCAGTGCTGAGGGGACTCAAAGATGAGGACCAAGCATTATGACCATCTGACTCTCTGGGAGGTCCAGGAAAAGTCCCAGGACAGGGCGTTCCTTTCCCAGCAGAACTGCTAAGTCACTGCAGCCGTCTCTCCCTCACAAGAACAGGAAGTGAGTAGAATCAGGTGCAGCTTCTTTTACCCATTAACACTCCCCACATAGAAAAGCAAAAAGGAAGCTATTTTTTAAAATAATAACTCTTAGAATTATTACGTGATCTCACTGGAGTCTCGGGATATAGGAGAAATCAATACTATTTCTAGATAATCACAGTAAACACAGAGACACTGAATTTAAAAGGACAACACCATTTGCAATCTTTCCAAAATAATTAAATAGTTTGGGATAAACCTAGCAAAATAGATGCAAGACTTGCGTGCTGAAAACTATTCAGGGCTGATGAAAGAAATCAAAGCTCTAAATAAATGGAAAGACATACTGTGTCCCACAAATATATCTCTACACAGCTATGTACGTATATGGTCTCACCCCCTCCACCAGCACCAGCTGGGCAGAGCCCACGGCAGTCTCATTGGCTTTCGTTGCTTCTTCTCGAAACACGGTGATGAGCTCCTCCAAACGCCTTAACTTGACCTTCTCTGGGACATCGTCCTGCAGCCTATGATACGCCCGCGTCTTCTGTTAAAGTGTAAAAAGAGGAAACGAGGTCACCGAGGACTTGACACACAGGGAGGCCAGGTTCATTCAACCTGCAAAATACAGGCACATGTGCTGAGATCCGAGGCACACCCAGAGGGTTCTCTGACTCTGGAAGAGTCCAGAAAAAAAGAAAGAGACCGTCGATTGAAGTCACATTTTCACAAGGATTAGATTCCAAACCCAGCACATGGAATGATGCTCACAGACATAACACTGCTCCTGGTATTTATGAGACGGTGACGTTTGTGTATATGTATGCTCAATGGCTCATGCCGTCGGTTACTCATTCCAGCACTGTTTACAAAGATGGAAAAACAAAAACAGGATCCACAGGTAACTAGCAAAACCAATCATGGTTTCGGTTCTACACTGGAACACTATGAAACTGTCAACAAGAACAAGGTGACTCTACCTACTGCCATGACGCCTCTCCAAAAGGAACTGAAATGAACAAGGTGCAGATCAAAACGTGTAATACACACACAAATGCGTCCAGAGATACATGGCATAGCTGCTAAAGGTTATGCAAGAGTTGCTTCCTAAGAACACGTGGCCTTAAGGAAAGGGACTAAGAAAACAGGAAATATGAAAGGAAGAGTTCTGTCTCGTGACCTTTGGGGTTTTAGGTCATGAGCGTGCATCTCCACGCCCAAAAGGAAATGGACTCTTGTAAACACCTGACGCCACCCAATCCCAGTGTGCACATTATCTAGAGACCGTTGTATACATGAGCTCTTCTTCACTGCGGCCGAGACCAGAACGTGGATTAAAAGAAAAGTCTGAACACAATGCATGGACGTTCAAACCAATGGGCCTCTGAGAGAACTACCAAATCCACAGAGGAAAATGGAGAACGGTAAGGAATTCCAGCATGCTTACAGGGCTTAGTCCATCCTGCTCCTTATTATCAACGATAAGAACAACACCTCGGGGAGGAAGAGAGAG